TGCTCAAACATGATAATTATTCCTTGAATAATTCTATCTCAAGTATAAGTTAAGATTAATTCATTAATTTGGGTTATTAAATAATAGCAAGTCAATTCGAGAAATTACCGGACACGAACCCTAGTTGTCGTTCCGAATATATTTTTCTAAGTCAAAAATTGAGAGTTGATATTTTAATACTTAGAATATTTTTCTAAGTGTGTTAGAATGTCAAAGTCAAGTTTTGATCATTTTATATTGAGCCCTAGTGCTCACCCGAGCCGCCCATGCCGAGCCCCGCACCCGCGCCTCGTGCCGTGCCAAGCACGTGCCTACCAAGCCCAAGGCTTGTCCTAAGCCTTGGCATTAGTTCCCTAAAATTTTCTAAGTGTTGGAAGCCTTTCCCAACCCTTGCAACTCAGCCCAAAGTCATTTTCCCCGAGCAGCACCATTTCCCGCGCAGCCCAGCCGCGCCCTCGCGCCCAGCCCGCGTCCCCGCGCCCAGGGCCCAGCGCCCAGCGCGACCAGTCCAGCTTCCAAGGCCCAAAACTCCATTTTTCGGCCCACTTTCCTCATGACCCATTTCATGCGTGTAATAAGGGCTTAATAAGGGTCTAAATGAGCTTAATTGGCCCTAAGCATTGTTAAGGAAAGTCAACTAGAGTTTAGCATGAAGTGAAGCATGTGCACAACATTGTTTATTCAAGAATTTTTGTCCTTGTCCCCCACTTTTGTACCAAGGCTGACCAGACCACTTAAATAAACGTTTGAGCTCTGTAAAACCACCAGGAATCTCCACCCAAACCGTGATTTAAGTCAGCCATTGTTCCCCATGACTAGCCTCTACTCATGTGCATGAAAAGAGAAAGATTCCCACCCATTTTGGTCCCCTTTGACCTCACATAGCAAGTTCCGCCCCATATCCTATATAAACCTCTTCTATAAGATGCAAGGAAGTTCTTAGACCCCCAATACCTCGAGCAAATACTTAGAGAAAAATCAGAAAAGTGAGAAGAACCCAGCTGGTGCCTACCTCGCGCGCGCAGCCCCGGGGAAGAAGGAGGACCGCACCTCAGCCTTTTCCAAGCACATTCCCTCGAGGCTTAGCACCATATAAGTGTACCTTATATTTTTCTAAGTCTCTTGGAGGTGTTTGGCACGAGCAAATCACAACCTAAGTCCAAGCCAACCCCTAAAGCCGTGCATAACCACATTTCGAGCCCTAGTTCATTATCTCCATTTCTAACCGAGGTAAGCTCGGGATTTTTATGTTCATTAATTATTTTATGATATTTTAAGATTTTTCATGAAGAGAAACCGAGCCATGCATGTCATTATATATGATTTACGAATTTTTGAATTAAATGGCCTTAAAAATAAAATTTTAGTTGCATGCATGCCAAAGTCGAAAATGTTGGTTAAATCACCCTTAAATATCATACCATTGATGCTGTAAAAATTTGAGAATAAATGGAGTTCATTGCCTTGGTCAATTCATTCATGAAAATACGCTATTTTGGCCACCCGAGGCCCATCCTCATGCATGCATGGTATGACCCAAGTGTTAGCCATTATAGTCATCATTTGTGATGTATATCATTCGGCCCTGAGTAGTTTTGTAAGTTATGAATGTTGGTTCGGAGGCCAAGTTGCTCGTACGTGCCATTTAGGCCCTCCCGAGTATCATGCATGTGGACCCGGGGTCCACTAGTGTTTTATGTGATATTTATGCTTATTTTACCATATCATGATGTTTGGAGTTGCATGTCACCGGAAATGTTGCCGGAGGTCCGGCAAGGGCCGGCCTTGGTCACTGCCCGCGCACATAGCGCGCCAGTGCCCGGCCCAGTGCCAGTCCGTGCCCGCGCCAGCGTGCGCGAGGCACCAGTGTCCGCGACAGCGCGCCCGCAGTGCCTGTCCGCGTCGTACCCGGGGTCGTGGCGCCCGTCGCGCCCAAGCAACCCCGACAGCGCCTGGCCGCGCTGTCCCAGCCTCAGTGCACGCATGGCCTCGCGTGTCATGCGTAGCCGACCTCGGGTCGTGCCAGTGCCACGCCCGAGCACGCAGTTGGCCCGGGATGTGCCCAGCAGCACACCCGCGTGCCCAGGGACGCCCGGCAGCGTCCGTGCCAAGCCCAGCGCACGAGGTCTCGTGCCAGAGCCTCGTGCCAGGTCCAGGGCTGATCCAAGCCGGGTCAGCTGAGCCAGTCGGTCTCGGTGCATGTCCCAGCAGCATGCCCGAGTGCCCAGTGTCCTCGGGACGGCCCGGCAGCGCCCTAGGGGCCTCTGTCCGCGCCTTCCCCGTGCCAGCCGCGTCTGGCCAGTGCCTGTCCGTGCCCAGCCGCACGACAGCGCCTCAGTCGAGCCTCGGCCGTGCCCAGCACGCACCCGAGGGGCACCAGTCGTGCCCGGGCCGTGCCAGCAGCCCCTGGCCGTGCCCACCAGCGCCAGTCCGCGCCAAGACATGTCCAGCGGCCCCAGGGACCGAGCCCGGTCGCACCAGCCGTGCCCAGCGCCGTGCCCGGGCACCAGCTGGCCCGGCACGGGACCGAGCCCGGTCTAGCCGAACCCAGCCCGACCGCCCGGCCCAGTCGAGCCGGCGGTCCGGCCAGCCAGCGAACCGGCCGGTTCGAGTCAGTTTTGATTCGTGATTTCTGATCCGCGTCCAGTTCTGAAAATTTCAGTATTTTACTGAGCCAATTCAGTCCAGTTTAATCGCGTAGATAAGTCCGAGCATTTTAGCATATAATTAAATATTCTGAGCATTATACTTAGCATTATTTTGCTTAAATATTTATGTAGCCTAAGGAGAGTCGAGCCTCCGACCGCTACTCCAGCATCCGCACTTGCATACCAGATTTCAAGTTTTTCAGGTGGGGGTCATGTACTGGATGTCACATCATAGATAATATCTGTACCATGGCAGAGGTATGTTTGAGACAGTTTAGTTCCGGGTTGGGTGGCCGAGGCCTTTATACCCACCTGATGACCGTTGGGAGGGGCGAGGCCCTTTCTACCCCATCGGCGTGTGCACACGAGCGGCTACGGCCGAGGGTCTTTTGACCACAGATCAGAACAGACATCAGAGATCAGTTTACAGTTTCAGCTCTTATATATTTATGTTTCATGATACGTTATTATAGATGATGTTTTGTTCAGTACTGGTCTTTGCGGAGCATAGTGGTTTGCTCACGCCCCCATTGTGTTTTTCAGGAGACGGAGTCGAGCGTGCCGGATGAGCACAGATGTGGCGCAGCATGGTCATGAGAGTCGGACATATTTTACCAGCATTTTTATGTCCTAGATTTATGATCATGTGTATTTTATTCAGTTTATGTACGCATGTTATGTATTCGTATTTCGAATGCTTCCGCCAGCGAGTTTTTTAGACAGTGCGAGACAGTACAGACTATGCATGTGTAATTCCATAATCCGCGAGCGGATAGTCTGGTTGCATGTTTTTATTATGTCTGGGGGCAAGCCCGAGTTCAGTTTAAGTTTTTATCTGCCACATCCCGCAATAAGTCAGTATTTTCGAAAACCCAGCTCGCACATTCTTTCGAAAATAAAAAAAAAAAAAAATTTACTCTCATTTTTCAAAGCTAGTAGTGAGGCGGGGTGTGACAAGTTTAAGAAGTAGTTAGCTATCCAACTATACATTTTCTTGTATTAACAAAATCAGCAACGCCGACATTTGGTTTAGTCTATTCTTAGATCATATTGTTTGGCTAATAACAGGTTTTCCGCGCGCTCTTGCGGCTGTTAATATAGCCCGATTTGTACTTTTCTGTTTTTCTAGGAAGCTTGTGAGCTCTCCTCTGATCCACTTTGGATCGTGGTCCATTGGATCCCGTGTACGATTTAAACACTTTATTTATGAGATAATATATTGTCG